TAAAGCCAAAGTCAAAGAATAAGATAAAACTTATCTTCCTCTTGGGTTCGCAGTCAGTGAAGTGGGGAAGACTTTTCTGTTAAAGTTTAACTTGCGTTTTTTTATTTAGACAACAGAAACTCATGTTAAGGTGAATGAACCATCCTGCTGCTCTTTATAATGCCATCTCAATAAAACACGTTTCATTTAGTTGTTTTCTTCCGGTTTTTATTATTAATGGTTTATAAAAACAAATTGTTTTCTGAGAACACATGCCCTGGGGAGTGTTTTCGCATCTAAAGAAACACTTGTATCAATGACTGTTGAATTGATTTGTGCAAATACAGTTTATTGGTGCCCCTTTCCATTTTCTCTTCATGTCAAACTCAAGTATAATTCTTTACAGAAGGCTGCCAACGTTATTAATCTTGTTGTTTTACATCTGCACGCCAACCCACAGGGTGCTGTTTCTGCTTTTTAGATCAGTTTGTACATGCTCATCTAGATTCACTTCTTGTTCTGTAAAATAAGAAGATGATTGCATTTATATTATAATATATGCCATCACTATTCTTGTGGATGAGTACATCATATGGTTCACGCTGGCAGCCACGTCTTAGCACTTTGATATGAAAAAATAAAAATCTAAATAATAGTTTAGTGTTAAAATGTGACAAACCTCCCCTGATCAATTCCTGGGAGTAGTGGGGGGTTTCAAGATACATTTGAAATTCAATAAAAGGTGTTCCAGTGAACAGGAAATGGAGCACTTCATGAACTCCTCTAAGTCTTTAGCTAGTGCCAAATCACACCAGCCAGTGAAAGTAAAAGTGGAGAGAGGAAGAGTGGAGTGAAAGGAAAAGAGAAGTGGTTAGGAGGGTAAGGAGGGGTGGTGGTTTTAGGGAATTTTTCTTCCCTCTCCCTCGCAGAGTTTGCTAACTCTCCCCTTCCCCCTCCTTCTTTCTCTGTCGCCTCCCCCCCTGCTCCGTCACACCACTTGGACTGGCGCAAGAGTGAAGTTGGAGGAAAAGAGGGCAGGAGGAGGGGGAGGAGGAAGGCTGTGGAATGTGGCAGAGAGAGCGAACATGGCTATAAAAGGAAAGCACTTCCACTCTGTTGCTGTGATGTCACTATTCAAATATTTCCTCCTTCCTTCCCTTCCAAGTCTGACTTACTGACACTGCTATTTCTCCTTAATTTATCTCAGTCTCTCCTCCCTTTATTGCTAAATAAGTGAAGTGTGTAACTATGTAGGTTAGCAGTGAGAGGGGTGTTTAGACGGATAAACAGATTAATGTTAATGCCATTGCCTATGTATCATGCATACAATGTTGAACATATCAGCCTCTCATGAGTTGTACAACATTCAGAAGTAACTGAAATATTAAAGTTGCATCTTGCCCATTTCAGTCTTTTAGCTGTGCGCTTAAAAATACATAGGAGAATACAGTAAGAACCAGCTTCTCTCCTATTCTCATATTCAGATAATCAGTATAGTCTAGTCATACTTGCTGCTGATTTTGGGGTCTGTATTAAAACATAATGAGGTATGAGGCCTATAGATTCTGGTAATGGCATTTGTGTATTTTAAAACGTTACAGATATTTGGGGAAGAATGAATTATGAGTAATTTATGAAACTACAATTAACTATTGCTAAACAATAATAAAAAGTTAGCGAAGCTTGTAGGCTAGGCTGTATCAGACGAATAGCTTAAAAATAATCAGATTGATTACAAAATAAAATAAAATATATATATGGAAGTGACTTTCCAAAATCTTTACTATTCTAAGTTATTCAGATAACTGTTTTCCACAACTGTTGTGTCTTCTTTTCGCACCTTGACCCCTCCTCCTTCTGATTGCACGTGAATGTGAATCATAGTGGTGACTCAAGAAAACTTCACTCTGTGGATGTTAGTCATCAGCACAGCGCTAAGCATCATGGGAAACCCATAACAGCTTGAACAGCAGAGGGCAATAATGCAACGTTTAAATGGACGTTAAACAACACAAGTAGAAGAATAAAATGTGGGACCCTTCAGACTTCGTCACATGTCTTTGGAGATGGTTTCGGCCATGTTTATGCTTGCTTCTGATTGTGACTCCTTCAGTAGCGCTATAGAGTTGCCACTCCAAATTGGAGGAAACTCCCAAATAAAGATGGGTTTTTATGGGGGGGAGTAGTGGGGCAAAGCTCAAATGACCTGTTTTGAAGTATTTTAAGGCACATTAACCCCTCCAGTTTTTTTTTTCCAAGAAAAAAAAGGCAGTGCTTTCCAGTGACCTAGTTAATAAAGGAGAAGTTACATAATGTACTCCGTCATTCTCCGAACTGGTTGACGAAGGTTTGGGGTTGAAAGATTACTCAACCATAATGCTTAATCTGCAGGTTATGACAGAAAGGGAGGGAGGGACGGCAGGAGGGAGGGAGGGATGGAGGGAGGGAGAGGTTTTTAGGAGCTGTAAGAAAATCAAGGCTGAAACCTGACTGTGCTTGAGTATGCACACAGAAGCACACACACGTAAGCACATTTCGCAGGTAGGAATGTGACTGTGTTGCTTCTAGACGATCAATCCAGTGCTGGTTGCTGATTGCTTCAGGTTGAAAAGTTCCAATGAAACTGGCCAGACCAGCAGCAAAGTTGAAAACAGATTGCTGACAGAAACTGCTCCTTTTACCCGGTGATAAGAAATTCCCACTCTACACCAACTTAGAGGAGTCGCTGAAGTTTTACCTTTTCTTATCTTCTTTTTCTTTTAAGCCTTCTCGTCTCTCCCTTGCAATTCAGTGTTTGTCTCTTACCAGCTCAGTTCACAGTCAGTTCAAGTCTATTAAAGTTTAAAAAGGTTAACTATATTACTCAACTACCTGCCTCCAACAAACTCTTTAGTGTTCTGTGCTTGCATGAAGGCCTTTTTTGTCGGTTGGAAAACTGTTGCTCAAGTTTCTTTGGATAAGAATATCTCTCAATCTGTTTCTCACCTTTAGACAACATAATATGTAATTGCTTTAATAGATCTCCACCCAGGTTTGAACTTTATCTCCAAGGTGTGTGTGTGTGTGTGTGTGTGTGTGTGTGTTGTGTGCTCTGGATCAGGTGACTTGGGTAAAGGGAGTTTGACAACAGCAGCTTTGCGGTTGAATATTAACAGTTCTACAGAAGGTGGTGGTGATGTTAAGCCTGTGTTAAGAAGGAGCTGCCACGGTGGTTGCATCAGGGGATTGAGGAGAATATTAACAAAATATTGGTAATAATTCAGTAGCTATGTGACTAGCTCACACAAAGTATGTTAAGCTCCTATGTATTTTTCTTTTTCTGAAAAAAAGGCTTGTTTTAAGTTTAAGTTTGTTTGATTTGAGCTTCATTCAGTAGGCTGAGTTACTGTGCAAAAAAACCTTGATTGATTGATTTTCACATATTTTAACATAAAGTTAGTTTGACAAAAGCAAAATAAATTGCAGTAGTTCTACAGTGTTGTGTTGGTTACAAGCTGTGCAGTTTGATGAACTTTAACCAGTATGGGAAGTTAATATTTGTGAACACACAAACACACACTGATCCCTTCTTTTTGTCTTTGCTGTTTACTTTTTGTGGTCATTGTCCATCGCCATAGCAACACATCCTGCCACTGGTCCAAAGGGGAACAAATGTTAAAGACAAGAGAAATGCACAGTAGTACCTATGTTAGTGAGTGCTACTCGTATATGTTTAGGCATATTTCATTAGTCTGTACAATGCAGTACATAGAAAGGCTACACAGGCGCAGCTTAGCCAGAATATTTAGCATTTTTCAATTCAACTTTAGTTTTAAGTTTAGCAGCTATTTTTCTGTTTGTGTATGATACAGGAGTTTATCCAGTGCCGTATGGAAACTGTTATTATTATCCTACACTGTGCCTTGTGGTTTCTTTATCCTTTCTGGTGGCCATAAGCAAAATTAAGTGAATAAAGAAATAATTGATTATGAGCATTATTAGCTGAGACTGCGACTGGATCATTGGTCATAAACGATGATGGAGGTGAAGGTGAGGACAGAGACGGAGGACAGAAACAATAAAGGAAATGGGATGGGGTAATGGGGAAATGAGGTATGGGTGGGAGGACGGGTTGGACACCTGGTCACCTAGAATTGTTTATTTTTGTTTAATAATGTACTACTTATTGCAATTTCACTGCTATATTTCCACTTTCACTTACAGTTGACATCTCACAATAGGCGTGCCTTGTGTGTCTGCATCTATCATTTTTTGTTACTTTACTCCCCCCTACAAGGTTTGAGCATGCTATTACATATTTGCGTAGTATGTGCTGGGATTGGTATACCATTGGAATGACCTGAAGTAAATCAAAAGGAAGGATTTTACTGACCCTTTTGTTTTAAGTTATAAAGTAATAAAAACGTTTTACTCACTTTTTATTGAGGAAATGCCTGAAGTATGAGACACTAGCCCAACTAACCTCTATTTAAACCCATTTTAACTCCCTGAACATTTTGTTACGTGTCACATATCCACTATCACACAGTCCTGTGGTTGGACCACCATGTGTCCTCACCCCAAACAAACCAAGTCTGTATGGAGGTGGATTAAGACCATTCACAGTGTTGAAACCAACACAAATGAACCAAAACCAGAAGTACAAAAGTTTATTTGAATAAAACCAAACCACTGAGGAATAAAACTCATATGTTTGGATAGTTACAGTTACTTGTTAATAAGATACAGTTACTAGGAAGCAACCACATTGTAAATAAAAACTTCCATAGCCCATTCAATCTGGAATTCTTAAACATTCCACTCCCACATGCTTCCTTGGAAATCTGATTCCTCACCAACAACAACAAAATCTGTGCAGACCTGGCAAAGCTGGTTTACATGTCTTTTGCAAATTATCATTTGCTTAGAATTTCAATCAAGAATTCATCACTTTGCAGACTGATGTAACAAGTACCTCTTGTTTGTGTCTGTTTCTCAAAGTCTGTTACTGGGAAAAATGTTCGTTTTTTTCCTTTTTCCAGATTGCAGCCTTGCTACACAGAATCCAGCTCTCTGACAGAATGACGTGTTATGGCTGTGGTGGCGGGTTGCTCAACACAAGATCACACTGGGAGTATAAAGGGGAAATTGCAACAGGGTATTTTCATGAACTTCTGCTTAACTTGTAAATGTGCTTTACACAATCCCATGTCCATGAAAGTTTAAATCATCTAAACTCTGAAACCTCAGGAAAGAAATCAGTTGAAAGCTGGGGATGACAGCAGAAAATTTCCAGTGAATGTGTAATCCCATAAAAAAATCGGTTAATACACAAAATATGTGTATGTGAAAAGTATTTTTAAAAATATAAAAAAAATGTAATAATAATGATGTAGTCTGTGTTTGTGGAAAGCCTTTTGGCACTGATCACAGCTCTGAGTCTTTGTTGATACATCAGCTTTATAGATTTTGGGACTTTCCCTCAATCTTCCCTGTTGTTTTACTCACGCTCAGCCATATGAGTAGGATTATTAAAGTGTCTTTCAGTGATTTAATGTGTAATACGTAAGAATTTAAGTTTAAAAACACTCAACTAAACTATAATTATGAGCCGGTTTAGTTGCCAGCCCGCCCAGTTCTGGTTCCAGTGCCACCCCGCTAGCATTTCCCACACAACCCTCCCCGCCCCGGGCCTGAAAACCTCCCCCTGGCAGTGTAAACACCAACATCCCCGGTGCTCCGAGCTCCCAGGCCGGGCTGAGTCAGCTGAACTAATTCCTATTGGTACATGGCTAACTGAGCTAACCTCAGCTACAGTTAGTAGCAGTTAGCGGTTACTCTGGTGATATGTGTTGTGATATTTGTTTGGACTATGAATTGAAGTCAAAATCATCCCAGGTGTGCAGCAGGTAGGCTATTTCAAGCCATGAGCCACCTGTGAATTCTGTGTGGGGATGTTGCCTTTTTTGAAAGTTCAGTTCTGTAATTCTGTCCTTTGTTTACTGGTCTCCTCAATAACTGCAATCAATCTTGCTCAACCACTATGTTTGACCGGAAAGATCAAGAAGTTTCCGGAATTTCTATTATCTTTAATATTTCTCAATCACAGAGCTTGCCTGCGAGCTCCTGGTAGCTGCTCTGGTTGCTGCAGTTGTCATTCTGGGCCTGATTGCATGTATCCTATTTGTGCATTTGTGACTCAATTTGTAGAGATCAAAGGGTGTTTTGTTAAACAAATTTGTAATATCATTGCAAAGGGCATGAATACTCTTTTCAAAGCATTGTGGCTTTTACCTGGAATTAGAAAGCTGTGATAATGTGTATACGTGCCACCGTCCATGAGGAGATCTAAATGCTGTTGTCTGTACTGTATACACAACAAACACTGTATGACACAACACACAGCAGAAGAGAAAAAGACATGCAGGCTTTTCTTTCTCTGTTTCTGTGTGTAACCTGTAATAGAACAAAATAAGTATATCAAATCAAATATTTTATGTATTTGAAATATTCTGAACCCTCAGAAGTGAAACTGGGTCTTATGGACATGCAATAAGTACTATAAGACTAGTATAAGTCTAATATAGTAAGAGGGAGACATACAGTATGATGTTTTGATTTATATTTAATAAATATACTGTATATTGTTTACTTAAAAAGTGTCTGAAACAGATTAGAGGATTCAAATGATTCCCTTTCTTGAAACCATTTACTGTTTACAGGGCCAATATTGTTGACTGTATCATCAGATTAACTCAGTTGTATGTTAGCATCAATAACATCCCACATTCAAGGCAAACTATACCTCCAACTATACATTAAATCTTACCATTAAATTTTGTATAATGGGTGACTTTGTTTGTTTGTTAATAAACTGTACATTGTCTGAAGATGTAAGTTATACTTATATTCTATAAGTTAAATGGCCTATATCTTTCACTTGGAAGGTGTCTTGGTCGAGTATTCTCACTTAATAACACATGAGGCGAAAATAATATATACATTAATTTCTTTATTCAGAAATTTATTTTGTCTCTTTCAGGCAATTAAAAATATAAGATTCTCTTTTTTACTGAGTTTTCTCACATTGGTATTTCACAGACCTTGAAATATTTCTCCATAAATAAAGTACAAAATACATTTATTTTCTTTAAACACAAATAAATATATAATAAATATATTAGTTTAAGTTAAACAACACAAGGCAACCAATAACCGAAAGGAATACTGCGGTGTTAAAGTCCCTGAACCAGGCTGTCAAACAAACAGGGGACAATAAAAGATGGGGTGCAATATACAAACAAGTAAAGATAACAGAATGTTTTACAGAACTTAATCTTAGAAAGTGTGTCAGGATTCAGACATTCAGATCTAGACTCACTGACATACAGGTTTCTATTAGCACACTTTGATCTTTCAGCATTCTGCAACTTACACATGCTTGCACCCCAGGTCTTAGAAAAATGACACATACACCCTCACATGCATATACAGACACACACAGTCACACACACACACACACACACACACACACACACACACACACACACACACACACACACACACACACACACACACACACAGAGGAGATAGTATGAAGCTTTGGTTGAATGCTACTGGGAGACTTGACAGTTTTTCCCATTTGAATTAGCTGTAAAGTGCATATCACAGATAAATTGGCATCAGTGACACATGTCAGGTCACACTGAATAAGGCTACTGAATCAAACATACTGTTTGTGGCACCGAGAGTAAAAAGCCTATGAGGCAGGGAGAATCTTTAAGGCATAGGAATTAATGATTATCACTACTGATAAGCAATTTTGATCACTACAGAATTATGATAAGTACAAACCACACTATCGACTAGTACTTTCAAGACCTGCAGTGGAGTTAATTTTTATGGAAGACCACATACAAAGGTCTAATAAGCTACACGATATTTTAAAGTATAAAAATAGAGTCTGATAACATTTGGGTACTAAAATCATCTCAGTATGTGTAGTTTATCCATTTTTACAAACATAAATTAAGAACTTTAAGTGTTATTTATCAAACGTGGACTTGTCCTGATCAGTTCTGGTTCTGAAGAAAGTCCAGATTAACAGACACAGTTAACAAGGTGTCAGTTCTCTTCTTTTCTTTCCCTTTGGGATCCCATTTAGTCAGACAGGGACAGGCGTTCAAACACAGTGAGCCTCTTGGTGGCCGATCCATCGAACGTTGGAGACTCAGTTCCACTGGAGCCTCCGCTGCTGCTGCTGTAGCTGTCCTCCAGGGAGTCCTCGGAGGAGAAACGCTGGAGTCCAGCAGGCTTCACGAATCCTCCGTGGCCTCCAGAACCAGGAAACAGCTTGCTGTCCTGGTGATGCCCGTCCTCCACGCTGGCGAAGGCTCTGCTGTTGTTGCTGTTAAAGTTATTTCCATGGCCACACACACAGTGTGAGGCCTTTGGCTCCAGGATGAGAGGAATGTTGTGGATGTCTCCAGTGCTGGCACGGGTCTGATGGTTGCCGAACTGGAATGCTGCTGCCTCCCGCTGCAGGGAGTCACCAAACACTGGGGAGAGGAGATCGGCAGGAGGTGGAGATACAGAGGGAGCACGGCTGAACCCCATGTTCGGACCATTCAATTGTGAAGAGAATGATGGAGGAGGTGAGCTGCGTGAAGAGCTCAGGAACCCGGCAAAGCTGACACTCTGGCGGAGCTGGTGGCGAGTTGCTGTGGGAGGTTGCTGCTGATTGTGGAATTTGGCAGATTCCAACGGACCTCCGCTGATTTTGTCCTCATGGATGAAGTGACAGCGTGAACCGTAAGGGCAGTAGCCAAAGTTATAAAAGGTTCTGCAGGGCTCTGTCTTGTACTTGGGGTGGCGGTACAGTCCTCGCAGCTCTGCCTCGCCATGGGCAAACTGACACTTACTGCCGTACTTGCAGCTGCCAGTCTCCTGGAAGCCACGGCACAGCTCAGTCTTGTAACGATTAGGGGACACCATTGGTTGAACCTGGGCTGGGAGGATAGACGAGGGAGGGAAGCCCGGCGGCGGAGCCACGGTAGTCGAAGGGCCTGAGGGAAAAGCCTCCAGGTTTTTCAGCTGTCCAAAGGAGGAGAGCAGGCTGCTGCTGGACTCGGTCAGGCTCATGGAGCGGTCGGGCCTGAATGGAAGCTGTTTCGGTTTGGACACAGGGCCCTGGCTCCAGATGTTGGATGACCACAGAGGGCTGCCGTTGTCGTTACTGTTGACATGCTCAGTGCTCATGCTGTGGCTCGAGGAGGCAGGAGGGGAGGGGGGAGAGAAGAAGGAGGCTGACCGGTTCAGCCGACTCTGCCCTTGGACTTTGAGTTGAGACTGTGGTGGGACCAAGGCATCATCCATGGCCAGTTTGATAAAGTTCTGTTACAGATGGTTGACATAGTTAACATACAAACACTACTCATTTCAAAGCAATACACTGTATGTTGAATATTCAGCATCATTTTCCTCTTTAATCCTACTTTCCACAACAAATCTATTTCAAATTATTGTATTGTTCAGCAAAAGATAAATTATTCTAGAGGAGATTCGTGTTTACGAGCTTTCATTTCTTGTCTGGTCATGTTAAAAAAAACAGACGGCAGTCATAAAAAACTAAAACCTGTACACTACTAGAAGTTACATAGCTTTTATCTGCAATTTACATGCAATCACAAAATATAAATGAAATGTAGATAACCGCAGTTTTGACTGTTCTCTATAGCTCATTAATATTCTGATAGCGGAAGATTACAATTCAACAAACAACCAAGCTCTGACTGTCTTCCTTATCTCATTATCTCTTAAAAGTGAAGAAATCCTCTGTGACTAAACTCAGTTCAAAAAGGAATTCGCTGTCAAATAAGTGATTCACAGAGTCGTAAAATGAACAGAAGTAAACGAACACTTTGGGAAAGGGATTACAGAGCTGACCCACTTCAACTTTACAAAGCCTGTTTCTCCAAAACAAAATTAAAAAAAACTTTGCATAAACTTTGACTCACCTTCGTGAAGATATCGTCAAGCATTTCACACATGCTGTACCCCTTTGGCCAAAAGAAGAAGATTCAGTTCTGATCCACGGTTTGATACCTGTGTTCAGACTAAAGCCAGTTTAGCACTGTTGCACTGTGACTGTCCCTCTCTTGAGCTCTTTTAAAGCAGACTTCCAAACTCCTCCCAGGGGTTGGGAGGAGTTTCCACTGTTCCCGGATGACCCTCCCTCAGCCTCAGGTTTCATAGTGACCTCAGAGGAGGCCGGGTAATAAAACAACAACAACAAAAAAAAAGAAAAAAAGAAAGAAAACTGTGTATTTTTAGCTAGCTGTGTGAAATGTTTCAGTTTCGTAGGCATGAGAAAGCAAAGTGGCTTATTTGTTCACTTCTCATGCATGCTCTCTATCTACGCCTATAGTACCCTACACTAGTTTTTACTGTGTTTATTCTTATTCGTTCATCCCTATGAACAATGAGAGGTTTTCTGTAGGGACTGATAAATCATTCCAGTTCTGTGAAATTTTTCAGAATCTGAAGCACTCTGATGTGTAATGGCAAAGAAGGCTGTTTGTTCATCCCACGTGAACAAGTAAAGCAGAGCTAAAATGTAAACACGTAAACAGGCACCGAATCATACATATACAGCATATACATTCCTATGAGTAATGGTAGGTTTTCAGGAAGTGTTAAATCATCTTGTCTTTGATCACACACTCAGAAACTTTCTGAGTGTTTTTACCTACAGAGAGGAGATGTAGGCTTACTGTTTGTATTTACCAGAACACATACATCTATATTCCCCCTTATTTCCTCAGTTTCTGTTGTAATTATAGCTTCAGAATTTCACAAAAGCACTGAAAGAGTCCAACAGCTGCCAGAACACAACCAATAAAAGCATTGATTATAAGAAGGCACAAACTTTGGGGCTGAAAGCAAGATAGAAGTGAATAAAAAAAAACAATCCAAACAGACCTTCTTCTACAATGTTAGAAGTTACATACTTTTATTTTGTGTTCAGTTATTAGCAGCAGATTATTTTTGGTGGCTGATGTTTTTTTTAACCGCTCGTTTCTATGGTGAGCTTTGCAGCAGTTATGTTTTTTGTTTTCCCTCTCATAGGAATTCCGAGGAGCGTGGCAGCTGTTCCCCCCACAAGAATTTAGTACAGTAACAAAGTGTGTGTGTGTGTGTGTGTGTGTGTGTGTGTGTGAACCTATGGTGCTTTGTAAGGTATATATATATTATTATTTCCTAGACTCACACATTACAAGGGCTGTTTTCACACAATGTCATCTGACTTTCAAGTCTATAAAAATGTCACACACTCTTTTCTTATAGCCTATAAATACACTTGTAGCACATTAATTCAGTTATACAGCTCATAGACCTGCATTGCTGCGTGTATTGATGGTTAATTAATTACATCAGCAGCGTGACAAACACAGAGAGATACGAGGTTAGTGTAATTTAGCAGTGAGATTTGAAGCTGAGAGACTAAGAGTCAACTGACCCAGTGAAACTCCTATAAATGACGGATGAATAAATACGTTTGAATCTGCAAAGTATCCGTTTGGTTACAACTGCTATGCTGATATCAACTTATCAGGATCATTTTCAGCAATGCTACTGCATGTGTCACCCACTCACATGAGTCATAGTCAGTCCTGGCAATGACGGTGCATACGTTCTACTACATGTTGTGCAAGTGTAGAAAAGTCACTGCAATATTGATTACTAAGGGGTAACGCATGACTATTGTAAACAGAAGAATAACTGCCAGACCAAATCTGAGGCCAATTAACTAAAACACACAAGGATTCTGAAACTGTGCAGGAAGG